AAACAAATTCAGGGGGAGGAGAGCTATGACTGTCAGTGGTGATGGCCAAACCAAGTATGTCTCTGAATATCAACCTGGGGAGGAGGAAGCAATTGGGGAGGGCTGTCACTTTCATGTCTTCTTGCTTGGGTGCTTGTTGAAGGCAGAGCTGTCCACTGTTGGAAACAGGATGCTGAACTAGGTGGAGCTTTGGCCTAATCATACAGGGCTGCTCTTATAATATTCCTCTTGTTCTAGTGGGACACATGCTGGTGCCCATACAACCTTAATTTAAGAACATAGTGTTCTGAGATTGCATTGTTGAAGGAGCCAGGCAAGTTTCTTGATAAGTTAATGGCCCCTAAGTATGGGCCGTTAGGGTAACAAAGGAAGTAGCTTTGTGTCGGATGGCAAATGGGTGTGCCCTGTCCTTCACCTGGCTGGTAGTTAGAAGGATAATGGAGTTGTGTGAGACAGCTGGGCTAGGAGCCGGCAGAAGCCTGAGAGTTAGATGTCTGCTTGAATCCAAGGCTGTGGTTATGGGAGATGCAAAACCTTATTGAGGCATTGATCCTGTGAGCTCTTCCATCATAGGGTCAGGTTGTATATATCTGTAAATAAACAATACATCATAAAGCCACCACAGTCCACTGACCCTCATTCCAAGGAAACTGAACCCAGCACACTTGGATATTAGGGTAGCGTGCAACCAGTGCTTTTCTGTCAGGGGGTACTCAGGGGTACGCAGTACTGGCACCTCTTTTTGTTGTTAAAAAGTGTGGCACCTACTGTAGCAACTTTTTGTGTGTACCAGCACCTATTTTTCTAGGGGGGGGGGAGTACTGTGTGCAGCAATATTTATTAGGCATCCTTGCCAAAAGGAAAAAAAGAATCTGCATAAGGCAATCTGATTTGATATGTTTCCTGCTTCTAAGAAATACCACTGCCAGCAAAATCACCTGTTTAGAATGGAGCATAAGTATGGAGGACACTTTTAAATAGTGAACTGGAATGCAAAGTACTGTGTCCACTCAAATGTACCTTCCACATTTCATCAGCTCCGCCTTGGACACTATTTCCCTGCTTAATTGTGCCTTCCAGAATTCAGGATCTCAGACATCAGGAATTTCCAGCTCTGGTTTTGGTTCCTCAGGGGAGGTGGTCTGAAGGATTGGCACAACAAATGCTGCAAGGCAAACAAGGCAGGAGCATTCCTGTAAACAAGAAGATCCTTGCACATTCAGCCTTGCGTTGCAACACGGGATTTTTCACGTTGTTCTAGTCTTAGGTCATATAACAAGTGTCACTTGAGAAGAATGTGGGGGGGGGGAGGATGTAATAGGCTAGCCATGTGTCTGGTAGAACCCTGTGTTAGACGTGACTTCTCCAAGGAAAAAAGGCTTTAATAATAAGCAAGTGTATCAGGTTTCTCAAAACACACTGCTAGGGTCATCTGAGCAGCTGGCAGGGATACAAGCTCTGTGACCTGCCTCTGAACCTTTCAAGCTCATTTCCTGTCAAGCGTCAGGCCCAAGAGGACAAGCAAAGAGCTGTTAAGTTCTTCTCTAGAGTCGTCTCAAATTAGAATTCCAGTAATGGCTTGAATTCCATTCCACTTGTCCTCAACTGGCCACTTTCAGTTCCTGTGAAGTTTGAATTGTATGGCATAAGCTGTTGTGGGGAAGGACCTTAGCTTAGTGGAAGAGCATCTGATTTGCATGCAGAAGGTCCCAAATTCAATCCCTGGCATCTTCAGGTAGGACTGGGAAAGACCCAGGCTAATAATATAATATAATATAATATAATATAATATAATATAATATAATATAATCACACACACACACACACACACACACACACACACACACATTGTATGTTTTTACTGATTTATTTGCACTTTTGCTTTTGTATTTAATGTGGTTTTATCGTATTTCCTTTTGTTTTCAACCTGTTCATTGCTTTGGAAGCCTTTGGGCCAAAAAGCAGTATATAAATGACCAATGAATGAATGAGAGTTGCTGCCAGTCTGAGCTTAGATGGGCTGATTGTCCTACATCTTTGGGAGTTGCAAAGGAGGAAGAGGTCAATAGGTCCCATATTTCGAATAACAACCAGATACAAGTTAAACTGGAGATGGTCACAGACATGCTCAGAGACATCACGTTGACCAGCAGATGTATACTCAGATTGTCTGGAAGTGGGCAGGAAAGTTTAAGGAAGTTAAACATTTTAACACTTACTAGGGATATTTGAAGATCCTCGCCCAGCACAACCTGAATGGCAGAGACAGATCATGTTCAAATGCTCTTGTAATCACATGCCAGTCCACTGTTCCCATTCTTGCCTTCTACAACCTTCATTCTCCCGAGAGTCACATGCTGCCTTGCTAACTGTGTGTGCATCTTGTCATCTTCCAGAGGTGTGGGCACATTTGGTACTTTACCTACATGTATGGCTGCAGGTTGAAGCTATAGAACAGTGGTGGCCAACAGGTTGGCAAGCAATTGTGTCCCACCCCAGTCCTCTCTAACTGGCCCTTATTCTGTTTATTGTTATGCAGAGTTTAAAAATCCATCCAGGATTAACTTAATTTCTGTGAATGTTATTCTATTGCAGGTACACCAGCTGAACCAGCAAAGTGAGGGCAGGGGCCATAGCTGAATGGCAGAGCTTATGCTTTGCATACAGAGTCCCAGGTTCAGCACCTTCCCTCTTCAGCTTAAAGTGTCAGGTAGAGTCAATGGGCAGGACTTCTGCTTGCTTGACACATTTGAGATAGTTGCTGCCAGTTAAATAGACAGATGGGGAAATGGCCTGATCTGGTATAAGACCATTTCTGAAGGGCCTAGCTATTAAAAGCTGGACCCTTCAGTCAATTCACTTGGACAGTTCACTTCCCTCAGCTTTCACCACTGGTTTGTGACCTGTAGAATCAGCTGGCTTTCCTAGCCTGGTCCTCCTGATGGAAGCCGCCTACAGAATATGTTCAGGAAGTTCTTGCATCTTCCTTTACTGGAAGCAGTTGGAAATGGCAAGACAACTAGATGAACTTACATTGTGTTTTGTTAAACTCTTCACCGAACTGTGTCTACCTCCAGCAATTCAGAAACAAGAAAACTTCCACTATGTCCTAGCCTGTCTTGGGGCCCAGGATGCACCATGGTGTGATAGAAGCTGCCTACAGAATATTTTCAGTTAGAACAGGTTTTTTTGTTTTTGTTTTATACCTTTTTGCACCCCTTACTGGAAGCATTTGGAAACTAGATGAGCTTGCATTGTATTTTGTTACTGAGCTGAGGCCACCTTTGGCAATTCAAAAACCAGAAAGCTTCCACCCTGTCCTAGCCTGTCTTGGGGCCACCATGTAGCACAGTGCAGTAGATGCTGCCTACAGAATATTTACAATGAGAACAGGGTTTTGTTTTTGTTTTTAGCATCTTACATTACCAGGAGCATTTGGAGATTACTTCTGGATGAGCTTGCATTTTATTTTTTTAAACTCTTCACTGACCTGAACCCATCTCCAGTAACTCAAAAACAAGGAACACCTCAGCCTTGAATTTTGAAACAAGGGCCTGTTTAAACAAAGAATGCTTTAAAAGGAGAATATATCTTTCAAAAGAAATTGGGATACAATTCAAATGCTTCTTTTAAAATACATGTAAAGCATTATTGCTGCTTTGCTTGTGGGACACGAAGGATGCTAGCCTGATTAATCAGGAGCTAATTAAATGTTAATGAAAAAAATAAATATTGAGGAAGAGAAATAAACATTATGTTGAAAACTAGATCCCTAACACCCGGTGCATGTTCACTTGGAAATAAATGGCACTGTAGTTAACAGCGATTACTCCCACGTAAGTAGGTATAGAATGGTGCTCTAAGATATGAGTAGGCAAACTAAGGCCTGGGAGCAGGATCCGGCCCAGTCGCCTTCTAAATCCAGCCCGCAGATGGTCTGGGAATCATTCTACATGAGTAGAATGTGTCCTTTTATTTAAAATGCATCTCTGGGTTATTTGTGGGGCATAGGAATTCGTTCCTATACATTTTTTCAAAATATGGTCCGGCCCCCCACAAGGTCTGAGGGACAATGGACTGGCCCCCTGCTGAAAAAGTTTGCTGACCCCTGCTCTAAGAGATAAACAGTACAAGGAAACCATAATTCCCTTTTCTCTAATTAGTGCTTTATGTAATGCATCTTATGGAGTTGAACCTGTAGTCCATCTAGTTCAGTATTATTTGCCCCAATTGGCAGCAACTGTCCCAAGCAGGTGAAGAACAAGATGTACAGAACCTAACCGGATTGGCAGTGGACTCTTACTTCAACACCTGTCAATGGGACAGTGTCCTCCACCTGTTAGCAGCAAGCTGACACCTGTTAGCAGCAAGCTGACATAAGGGCCATGGTGGGCTGCATGATGCCCACACTTCTGTCCTCCGGTACCTCGTTGCTGTTCCCTGCAAAGTTGTAGATAACCAACAATAGGTTATCAATAATGCCACAAAGGAACTACCGCTCTTGTGCTTGTTCCCCCAAAGCCATGGTTCCCCCTCCCTCCTGTGCTCCACATGCATATCCTTAAATGTCCACTCACTGAGAAGTCTGAGAGACTTCCTGGAGTTGTTTCTCTTTGTCTATCTTTCTCTTGTGGTGGCCAGTCTGCTGTGTGCAGATCACAGCCAATCAGAAAAAAATAACTATGGAGAGCAGTTCCCACCCCCATCTCCAAAGGGATTTATTTTGGTTTTTTTGTAAAAAACAAAATAGCTCACAAATAGGTAAGAAAAATTAAATAGGGCTTGAGGGCTTCGTGGGCCTTTTGCATTTATCCATTTATATCCTTCTGTTCCCTAATCAGGGCCCATTAAGTAATGTAAACTTATGGGTTGCAGTTGTGGAAAGAGCTGCCCTTCCAATCAGGTGTGTATAGTTGCATCTGGGCCAATTAGGTGCTTGCATTTGCACTCTGTGACTTTTCTGAGTTTGCACTGATGTGTGACGGTTCCCTTATTCTTAGAGCAAGAGGGCTATCGAAGTAGCGGCCAGCAACAGTAAGTGTCTTTATTATATTTTTATTTTGGTTGTAACAATGCCAGACCCAGGAACTTATTGTATTATGAGTAAAAGTGGCTAAGAGGCAGAGCTCAATGCAGGAAGAGGCCAAGGAGGTTGCTCTTCTCTGAAGCGAAAGGGCCAGAGGAGGTGTTGAAGGAAACTGGAAAAAGAGATAAAAGGTTACATTAAACTGGCATACAAAGGAAAGGCATAAGAGAGGAAAGGTGTTGTAAGAGGAGGAAGGAAATGTAAAAGCACCAGAAAAGAAGAATGAAAGAAACTGGCAGTGGTTTTTTGGAGTGGGATGGGGAGGATAAGGTACTAGTAGAGTGGGAAAGACAAATGGGAGAAGAAATGATAGGAAATTAGTAAACCTACTGAGAGACATGTGGTGATGGGAAGAAAAAAGGCTTAATCACATTACCTCCAGAACAAATGTTGGCACTTGTGGAAAACTAAGGTAGGAAATTTGTTTCCATAGGGAAAGCACTATGGGAAAGAATCTAGCTATTTCCAAAGATCAGTAGACAGTGATGTTAGTCAGCTAATTATGCCAAGCTCTGCAGCTGCCACCATTTTGAAACTAGGTCCACACCACCATTTTCTGACTAGTGGGCCTCAGTAACTTCCAGCCACCTTAAGTGGGCCTGAAGATAGAAAATGTGGGAACCTCCACAGTAGAGTTTGTTTGCGTAGCTGTTTGTAGGCTGAGCAGACTTTGTTCCTTTACAGGTTTCTCTTTGCCTGACCCCCAAAAACTCCACTTCAGGGAAGGTAACTATTCAGTATTTTGAATGGAATCTCATGCATGTTTGCTTTGAACTAAGCTCACTGGGTTAAATGGTGCTTACTCCAGAGACTGTTTAAAGTGGTGCTGGCTGGGGCTGATGGGAGTTTTAGTCCCAGGTTTGGGAATGTTGCCTTTTTCTATACACACCAAGGGTGGCTGTCTTGCAGCCTTCCAAATGTTGTTCGACTCCTACTCCCATCCTCCCCAGCCAGCATGACCCATGGACTACAATTCCCATCATCCCTGACCAAGACATCTGGAGGCCCACAGGTTATACAGTATAAATTTATGCTTGTTTACTCAGAAGTAAGGCTCTATCAGTTCACTGTGACTTGTTCCCAGGAAAGGTGATATAGGACTGCAGTTTTACCCACATTGTAAATTCCCAGTTGCTGGATATCATGTGTGGGAGTGCGCTGTTGCAGTCAGGGCTATTATTATGTTGTGTTCATAAAACACTTTCCATATCCATTTGTGTACACAGTAGGTCTTGAAATCACATTGGAAGTATATTTTCCCCTCAGAAAATTATGGGAATTGTAGTTTAAGGGTTGCTGGAAGTTCTGACTTTGTGAGAGGCAAACTACAGTGCCCAGAATTCTTTGAGTCAAAGATTGTGCTTTCAAGTTGTAGGGTGTGTGCAGCCTAAGGAGGGTTGGATATAGTCATATGTGCTTGGCTGTATCCATTTTCTATGGACACAGCCTGTGTTTCTAAAAGCATGGGATGAACTTGCACTGTGGAATCCACCCTTAGGTACAATGGCCTCTGGTACCCTTCAAGTATTTTATACTGACTGCCAGCATTTTGAGTTAAGTCAATATATTTGTTTATACTGTTTTCTTCTAAAAACAAAGAGTCTTGTGGCCCTAAAAGACCAACAACATTGTTGTAGTATAAGCTTTTGTGACCTGGACCCTACATCATTAGATATATGATGCATATCCTCATTTGGCATGTCTATATATGGGAATAAAGAAAAATTTATGTAAGCAGTAGGGGTAGAAGGCTAAGAAATTTGAGAAGCAGAGTCAGTGACATTTCTAGGTAGCTTGAACTTGATATATGTAAATTTTGCCCAGAAATGTCATAGAGTGTACTGCTTGCATCTCATCGCCTTTTTTGTCGCCTTGTTTACAGTTATGTATTTTACCTCCACACGCATGTACATGTATAATCTGCCAGTACTTGGGGCAGCTGTTGAAGTGAACTCTAGACCATAGCAAATCTACAGGACTGTGACCATAGGACTGTGACTGTGCAAATGTCATAGTGGGACTTATTTCTAAGTAAACATGCATTAAATAATTCTGTTGATCTGTTGCAACAAAGACCAAAAATACTCACATTTCTGGAATGCAGTGACACCTTTTTTATTTTTATGTGTGCCTGGATTTAAGCCTTTTCCCCATTGAATACTGTATGGTGTAGTTCAATGCTTACTATCTGAAGGACCACTGATTCTTCATCCCTGGTATAGACCTGTGGTGAAGCAAAATGTTTTTTTCATAGAATGATAGAGTTGGAAGGGACCCTGAGGTTCATTTAGTCCAACCCCCTGCAGTGCAGGGAATATGCAGCTGTTCCATACAGGGATCAAGCCTGCAACCTGTGTAGTTAGCACCATGCTCCTTTCAGCACCGTGCCGCTGAGCTATCCAGATTGAAGCTCATGTTTGTTTTATTTTTGTGGATGCCTGAATATATATCCTGTTCTCACCCCCTTTTCTGGTTTTGTTTTTTTTCTAAGTAAGTTATAATACAACATTTGGAGGACCACAGGTTCTTCATCCCTGGCATAGACCTGAATCACTTTCTATCTTTGTCATGCACAAAATTGTTTATTAAAATTTTGAGTGTATTGGGTCCATATGAGGCAGATTATCTAGATCAATTTCAATCTAGTTTAAAGTCTGGTTATGGGACATAGAATGATTAGGTTGTCTTTGTTGATGAGCTATACCTGTAACTAGACAGGTGGTTCTGGATTAGCTGACTGGGAAGGAGTTTGGAGGTACCAGTTTACATTGGTGCTTGTCTTACTTAGAGGGTTGAGGGACTACAGTTTGATACCATGGTTAATTGAGCTATATGGTGTCCCCCAAGATTACATTCTATGCTAATTAGCACACATATGAAACCATTGGGTGATGTCATTCAGGAGCTTATGGGCTTAGCATCAACATGATACTCACTTTGCCCCAAAATGGAATGTTGGAAACTTGTTAGTCAATTCTTATACATGGCTTACTGGGAAAATTAGGACGTTGGGAATTCTTTCAGGCATCTGAAATGCATTGAAGGCAGACAAATGAGGTCAGCCCATTTTGGAAACTAGTGGTCGACTTTCACACCATGATGTTTGAAAAGATCGTTCCTGAACAAATTGAAAACAAGGGATGGAATTAGACACAGATGGGTTCCACTGACAATGCCAGATAAACTGTATTGTGAACACTTTCACGAGGGACTATTACATAAGATGTGGATTGCTGACAATTTATAGAACAGTCCACTGCATGTTGGTAGAAAATTGATATTTCTGTTAAATAGCATGGAATGAGAAGTGCGTTCACATGTGGCTATATAGGATTAGATGACAAAGACCTCTTAATAGAGCAAGTGAACACTGATTTGTTTGTGATGCTCAGGAAACAAACTGTTTGAAACCCTGGCTTTTGGTCTGTAGCCCAAATTTTGGGGATCTGATCTGTTCCTCATGCAGATGTTTTGTTGATGACTTCATGCAGGTGCCCCATGAAGAGAGAGTGGGGAGAAATGTAGCTCAGTAAATGCCCAGCTTGGAAGTGGCCTTTGTTCATGTACAGAGCTGAATAATGAGCAAGTGAATTGACACGTGTCCACCGCAGAATAACAGACATTCAGTGCCACAAATGTTAATGGGGTGTACCACTGTGAACACCAAAAGATTCTTGCCCCATAAAGTATCACGTGCCCCACCATTTCCCAGCCATGCTTCTTTATGAAAGAGAATGTTAGATTTTATGCATTGAAGGTTTTATGTGATGAATTCCTTCCAACAAGCAACATTTGAGCACCGCAGAAAACCACCGGTGGTATTCAGCTAATTTTCCCTCACAGCAGTCCCATTGAAAATAGTGAATATTGTTAGGTCCATCAATTCCAGTAGGTCTACTCTGAGTAAACCTTAGTTGAATACCACCCCAAGTTTCAATATTCTCAGTGTTTCAGCTTATTCAAAATAATGGATTCCTACAAGAAAGTGTTGTCTTCAGTGCATAAATTGTGGGGTTTGTAAAAGAAAAGAAAAAACCCATTCACACTGAAGATGACTGCTGAAGCCAAGGACAGAACATTTTTGTGGTGTCCCATCCCTATGGCTTGACGTTGCTGCGGCTGCTTGGATAACAGACTCATTGGCTTTAGTGACCAATGTAAATAGAAAAAAATGACCCAATAGAGAAACTGTTACAGGAAGTAAGCCTAGATGAACCATAGTGAACTCAGGAGGACAGACAGAAGGTTGGATATATTGGCATGTTTGACTTGGGAAATACAACTAGATGCCTTAGTTCTATACGATGCATACTAGACTCATCATGGTTTTGAATTAGAGACTGTGTGAGTCTGTGCCAGCACTTGCTCTCCATTCATTTCCAGCAGTTTTTTGTTTGTTTGTTTTATTGAATTTTACATTATTATTTCCCCCCCCGCAATTACATCATAGCAAATAATAACAGATTAAATTTCCCACTTTCCCCCACCCTCCCCTCAACTTCCCTCAACTTCCCCTTCTGGGTTTTTTTACATATGAAATTGTCCTGCTTACAATACTATTTCCAGCCATTTTTTGAATATCACTCTCCTCACACACATTAACTCACTTTCTCCTCTCAGGCTTTATAAAACTAGAAGAGTTATGAAATTACCGTATTTTTCTGTGTATAACACTACCCCACGTATAAGAAAACCCCTACTTTTGGGAGTCCAAAATTAAGAAATCAGTAGTTTAAAGTTGTTCAGCTTTCGTTGAGCGCTTTTGGAAAACCATTGACAGATGCTGGATGAGATATGAACTGTACCAGGCCTCACTCTGTTCAGTGATATTAGAGCATACAAAAATTCACTACGGTCATACCTTTAGTTTAATAGAATATGCCGCTGGATGCAGTATGTAGTGGGTTTTTTGTGCTTGGGATGTGAGCTGGAGTCCAAAATCAGGAGGACACCACACTGGCAACCAAGGTTCAGGTCTCCACTTGGACGCAAACTTCTCTGAGTGAATGAGCCAGTCACTCTCAGCCTAACCAATCTCACAAGAACATGTATTCTGCCTTGAGGTTCTTGGAGTACAGGTGGGATAGAAGTGTAGTAAAGCAGAGGGTCTGAACAAGAAGAGTCCCAACTACAAACTTCTCTATTTTGAGGAAGGGTATTAAATTTATTGGACCCTGTCTTCAGATTCTTTGTCTGCAGTTTGTTACAAGCCTCTTCACTACTCCGTTGCAGTCCTATCTTAAAAGATAGGCAGTGCAGCACCCACCTGCTCAAGCTGTTTCCTCCCACTAAAGAGAGCAAAAAGTGCTCTGTGCTTTTGAAGAATTTCATTTTCTCCAAGTGCAATTATGCCCTGAATGACGGAGTATAAAACAGGAATTCACAGGGGAGTTCCTCTTTTTAAGAGGTAGCTATTATTTGACATGCTGAGAAAAGTATTACCATATTTTTCGCTCTATAAGATGCACCAGACCACAAGACGCACCTAGTTTTTGGAGGAGGAAAACGAGAGAAAAAATATTCTGAATCTCAGAAGCCAGAACAGCAAGAGGGATCGCTGCGCAGTGAATGCAGCAATCCCTCTTGCTGTTCTGGCTTCTGTGATAGCTGCATAAGACGCACACACATTTCCCCTTACTTTTTAGAAGGGAAAAACTGAGTATTATAGAGCAAAAAATACGGTACTTTCTGACTAGTCTGTTAATCCAGCAGTTTAGCTGTAATAG